TTCTGCAGTGACAGTTTGAGTCCTGCTTGCTTTACTTCCAATCCAGATTCCTGCTAATGCATATATGAAGGCAGTTTAAGACAAGTACAAGCCCCTGCCTCCCAAGTGAGAGACCTGTATAGCATCCTTCCTTTAACCTGGCCCTGGCCCTCACTGTCACAGTCAGTGGAGGAGTGCTCAGCTGATGGAAACCACTTTCCTTGACTCTTGCTCCCCTTACATGCTCTGCCTTTCAAATACATCTCAAAAAAGTTTGTCTTATGTTTCTTTTCCACTATTATGGGAGGTGTGTTTATAAGGTTTCATGTGTCTATATATTACTTTTCATACATAAATAATATATTAAGAGTATAGATTCTTATATGAAATTTTACCACATAATTCAAATCAAAAATAAAAATATATTTAAAAAAACCAAAGATTGTGGATTCTATGGGATCATGTGTAAAGCCACCTACTCTAGCAGCCTCATTCCACATGGTCATTGACAGGAGTCCCACCTGCTCCACTTCTCATCTAGCTCCATGTTTAAAGCACCTAGGAAATTAGTAAAGGATGCCTAGGATGGGTTGCTGAACCCATGTGGGAACCTGGAAGAAGGCCCTGGTTCCAGGCTTTGGACTAGTCTCCATGGATGGAAGATTCTCTCTTTCTCTCCAACAAACCTCTTCTGTAATTCTTAGAATTAATTATCTTAAAAATGAATAAATGATAAAATTTTAAATTACCATTATATCATTCAATTGGTTATTTCTTATGCATTTATTTATTTTTGTTGTAATGGCAGATCAGATTTATGGAACGAAGAAGAGAGAAATATACTTTCATTGGTACATTCCAAATAGCCAAAACAGCTACAGCTGAGCCAAATAAAGGCTAGCAGTCAGGAGCTTATTCCTGGTCTCCCACACAGATGCAGGTTGCCAAGGCGTTGGGAGTTATCCACCGCCTTCTCAGGCCACATGAAGGGAAATGGATGGGAAGTGGAGCTGCTTGGACATGAACCAACACCCACATGGGTTTCTTGCAATTGCAAGTATCGGGGGTCCTCCTGTCCCACGGAAGAAATCACCCGACACTTGAGAGAGTCTCCAATGCGCTTTATTCCAATCTTCCCTTGAAACCGTTATGACCGTTAAGTCCATTATGCTCTCTAACCCCTCCCCTGCCAAGCCCCCCATTTATCTGTCAAACTTGTCCAATCAGCTTAAAGATCACCAAGGCAGACCGATCAGGGCAAAGGGCCAATCACAGGGCAGGAAATTATCAGTGCCCCCAACAGCTCCCCCTTCTTGTTTTACTAAGCAAGGGACCATGCCTGTCTTAGGTGTTCCGAGTTTGGGCTCCTCTTACCTAACCATGTGGCTAGGAATGTGGCACCTGTCTTAGGTTGGTGAAACCATATCAGATACTTACCCGTCTCTGGCTACTGGTCCAGCATGCCTAGCTAGACTTCTGGGGATTCTCTGTTGTGAAGGGCAAGCACAGCTTGCATTGGCAGCCACTGTTACTGCTGCTGACACTGTGCTTGAAGATGAAGCATCCACAGACCCCAAAGAATGATAATTAATAAGATAAGGCCTATTATACCGGACCATTGGAATGCAAAGGAAAGATCCTTTAGTATCCAATTTGTTCATTGCTCTACCGTGGCAATCTCTACTTTGGTGCTATTTATGGCTATAATTTGGGATCTTAGTTCCTACGTCAAATTATCAAATCATATGGACCAGCTTCCATTAGAAGATAGCATAGCGGATAACTCCCTGGACAAATTCAATGCTCAGGAACCATTGGTGACAATAGAGAGAGTGACACACATTCCAGGTAGACTAAGCACACAGTGGGCCCCCATATGATGGAGAAGTGGTTCCACTGCCTCCTGAAAAAGATCCACTCTCTGATTAACAAGTAAAGCACCTCTTTAAAAATGTATGACGAATAAGAACCTGAAGATCACTTTCTTTCACCTGAACGGCCATGGGAATAAGTTGTGGAGTGTGTACCAGCACCACAGTGCCAGAGCCATTCCAACACTGGTTAAGGTCTCACTTAACTACAGAGCAATTCAAAAGGGTAACATTAGCACTCATGGAAACAATAAACATAAATGGAGCTTGTACACATACATAAATAGCATTATAGATAACATTATGACTACAATTAACTTTAACATCTTCTTCCCATATTCTAGAACTATTACTATTATAATTACAAATTTTTTGTCACTACCTTATCAATAAATGCAAAAGCTGATGTATCTGAACACCCACCCCTACTAGTGCAAAGTACCCCAACAATCCAAGACTGAGCAGAAACAGATTGAACAAGGTTACCATATGTATAGTTATACCCCACAAAGGCAGAATTTGAACAGGTAGGAAATAAATTGGTCACAGCAAGACCAGGTGCTACTCTTCTAGGAGTCACAGTACTTTGACAGCAGTCCATTCTGGGGGCCATTTCCAAGGCCCTAGACAGTGAGGCAATATTTACTGCCCCTTTTATAGTGTAGTTTTAGCTGGAGATTCTGGCTGTCTCCTCTTGGTATCTGAATGAACATCAGGCTGGTCAGCATCCACCACGTCTACGGGTTCATCTTGCTCCAGCTTTCTTATCACTCATGTCAAACGTTCTGGCACCCACATTGGTCCATCAGAATCCTGCGGAAAAACACAAACCGCTCCTCATGTCCGTCATAAGACAGGATGCGGGCCCATCCATTGTTTTGCTAAGACATCCTTCCACATCACCCAATCTTTGCAGGGGCCTGCGCCAACAGCGTGGCATTCGGCAGCAGAATGGCCATCCAAATCCAAAATCAAAAAATTAAAAATATAAGTAAACTAAAGCCAATTGATGTTTAGGACTATTGGAATATAGGGTGGCTCCTACTCCCTCTTTTTGTTTTATTAATAATGCTTTGAGAGTTGCATGGGCACGCTCTACCACAGCCTGGCCCATGGGATTATATGGGATGCCAGTAGAGTGTTTAATCACAAATTCAGAACAAAACTTATCAAATGCTTTGGCTGTATAGGCAGGTCCATTATGAGTCTTATAACACTGGGGGATGCCCCAGGCTGCAAAAGCCTGAAGGCAATGAGATATAACATCTTGAACCTTTTCCCCTGTATGAGCTGAGGCATAAAGAACCCCAGAACAGATATCCATAGAGACATGAACAAAAGAAAGGCGACCAAAACTGGGAATATGGGTAACATCCATCTGCCATATATGATTAGGCATAAGACCACGGGGATTAACCCCAAAGCAAGGCTGGAATAGAAAGGGACACAATTTTGGCATTGCCTAATAATACAAAGATACGGTCGGATCCAATTAATACACCCCAATACCTGCTGGAAATCATTAAGAATCTTTAAATGGCACATTCTGGGTTTTTTTTGTTGTTGTTGTTGTTGTTGTTTTGTTTTGTTTTGTTTTGTTTTGTTTTGCATCTCCGTAAGACTTTCTCACCTTCCTGTATAAGTCCTCTGAATTTATCAGTGCCATCTGTCAGGCAAGACTTAATCAACGTCCAGAACCTGACTGTTCCTGGAGGGAGGGGCTCCTGCCATTCTGCCCAGGATAAGTCTCTGCCTAAGTGTTCCCATTGTGGCAGGATCAAAAGGCCCTCCTCCAGAAACCACAAGGCGATCCTTTGCACAGTTTGCAAAAACAACAGTACCGTTAGCAGTTTCTGCAATGAAGGCTGCATGCGTGCTAAAGAAGTTAAATTGGCCATATTTCTAACACCTCTGATCGTTGCTAACCTCTAAACTTGACTGATTGTCAAATCGCGAAATTGATTGTTAATTGTGGACTTGAGTGATCGTTAACCGTGACCCTAAATGGCGGTAAACGTGATTGTTATTGGGCGGTAAACGCAATCGTGAGTGGGCGATAAACACCATCGTGAGTGAATCTGAATGAATTTGAATGGCCGCTAGACCGCGAGACTGAATCGTCGCTAGACCCGAGCTTTAATGGTCGCTACCCTGCAAACTTGACTCCTTGCTACCCCGGGAACTTGACTCGTCGCTACCCCACGAACTTGACATGCACGTCCCTGCTGCTATCAGCGGCCTCCTGAGCAAAAAGCTCAGTTGTAAACTAGTTCCCACTGTAAGCAGCTCCCTGAGCGATCTGCTCAGCTTACCTTCCTGGCATTCACCAGCTGACTTCCATCCGAGTCACAGCGCCAGTTATCTTCTATCCAAGTCATGGCACCAATTATCGGGCGTTCCGCCCCCCGCCCCCGTCCTGCAGAAGAAATCACCTGACACTTGAGAGAGTCTCCAAGGCGCTTTATTCCAATCTTCCCTTGAAACCGTTATGACCATTAAGTCCGTTACGCTCTAACCCCTCCCCTGCCAAGCCCCCTGCTTATCTGTCAAACTTGTCCAATCAGCTTAAAGATCACCAAGGCAGACCAATCAGGGCAAAGGGCCAATCACAGGGCAGGAAATGGTCAGTGCCCCCAACAGCAAGGGGAAGATTTAGCCATTGAGCCATGGACCAATCCCAATGTTTGATATTTATTGTGTGCTTTCATCTTGCAACACTTTCATTGACTCCAAGATTTTTACATTTTTATTTTATTAAGACACCTATAAGGAAAACCTATAATGCTTATAAGCAATGTAAAAAAATTTACCTTTAACATCTCAATCTTTAAACTCATACATATTTTGTAATCACCCTAAGTGAGGTCTGTGGTACATTGTTAAGTATTATTGTGAGAGTCATTGTTACTACCTTGCTTGAGTTTCACTTTTAAGCTTTTACACTTAAGTGTAATTTTTATGTGAAGCTCTCAGTAGAAAAATCCTTAGTGTGTTGAGGCAGTTTCCTTAATTTGTGTTGGAAGTTTTTTTTATCATGAAAGTTGTTAAATTCTACATATTAAGGAGAAAGTGAACCTAATCTTATGTTGGGTTTTGTCAATATGTTTCTGGCTTTGTTAAACCCAATTTCCAATAAAAACTTGGTAAAAGTTATCTTTGGAACACTTCATGAATTTGTGCATCACCCTTGCACAGGGGCCAAGCTAATCTTCTCTGTATCATTCCAATTTTAATATATGTGCTGCTGAAGAGAACATGACTACATGGTTCTTGAAGTTAAGGAATATTTATTTGGTAATACATGTATATGCTGGTCAGTATTTAACAGTATTGATTTTAAGACATTGTGAACTAATATTTTTGCTTTTTAAAAAGGTAGTGTTAAATGCTCAGAGTATTATTGAAATTGAAATATCTACTTTTGGTGTAACAGGCTGAAACTTTGATTTTATCATCTGTGGTGATGAGTGAGACTGTCCATGGTTTCATTGTTTGTTTTGCCCTACACTGGCTTTGCATAATTACTGTGCTATCCATAATGAAAGAAGCAAATAGCCATTCCATTATTCAGTCCATGGAGTAGCTTATATAAGAAAAAGTTATTTAAGCCACGGGAAACTGCTTTCTTTCGTATAAGACACTTTTTTTTTTTTACTATCAAAAGGATTTATTTAAATGGAACTAACAATTTAACATTATTTAACTTTTCTTGAACTCATTTTCAAAATGCATATATTCCTTCAAATATTTTTCTTTATGTATATTTTTCAAATTATTTGATATATTTACACTATGGGTTTTCTGTAATTTCCCAAAGGTATTTTCTATTTAAATCCTAACATTGTTTGTGTCTTTCCTTTTTCCTTGACAGTCTTATCAAAGTTATGCACAGGTTGTGTAGTATTCATTAAATTATTTTCTTTTTTTTAATGATTTACTTAGTGTATATCTTCCATTTTTATTCATTACAAAGGAGAAATTGTTGTATATACATATAGTAGTTTCTTAAGCATCTACACTAGAAAGGATTGTATGTGTATTGTGATTGCTGACAAGTTGATCTAATAACATTTTGGTATTTTTTAAAATATATTTTATTTTGAATTTTTAATTATGTGGTACAATTTTGTATAGCCTAGGATTCCCCTGCAAACTCCCACCCCTGAAAGATTTTCCCCATTTTACTATAATGGTGTAGTTCTTCATAATGAATCATAATTCTATCAGTCTCTTATTCAAGTGTACCCTGACATTGTTGGTACAGACAATGTCAGACAGCCCAAAATCCCATTGTCATGACTAGTATTTTAAAGAATAATTTCTAGTTGTATTGATTATCATTACTGTTCTTTAAAACTATGTTCATTTTTCTTTTTAAACATTTTTATAATTATTTTTAAGTTTGTAAATTTATTTGAAAGGGAGAGAGAGAGACAGAGATCTACCATCCCCTGCTTCCCTTCCTAAAAGACTGAAAAACTACAGTCAGGCTTGTCCAAAAACAGCAGCCAGGAGCCTCCTCCTGGTCTCCCATGTGGGTATCAGGAATTCAAAAAAAGCACCTAATGTAAGAAGGGAAACTTAGGACTGACTCTCAGCTCTGTCACTGGTTGGGTAGGTTGTCAGCAGTGTTCCTAAACCAATGGATTTCTCTCTCTCTTAAAAGGTTTTTTTTTTTTTTTTGCATATTTGAAAAGCAGAATTTCAGAAAGAGAGGAGTGAGAGGAAAAGGAAGAAGGAAAGGCATAGAGAGAAGAGTGAGAAAGAGAGAAATCTTTCATTTGTTGCTTCATTCCCCAGGTGGCCACAGTGGCCAGTGCTGAGCCAGGTCTGTGCCAGGTCACAGCCAGGAGCCAAGAGCTTCCTCTAGGTCTCCCACAAGGCAGGGCCCAAACACTTGAGCTACCTTCTTCCACCTTTTCCAGGTCACTAGCAGGGAGCTGCATTGGAAGTAGAACAGATGGAGCATGAATTGATGCCCACATGGGATGCTGGCATCACAAATGTCAACTTCACCTGAAGCACCACAACACCAGCCCCCAACCAATGGTTCTGTTTGTGCAGGTTCATTCAGCAGCATGGCCGTCTCCTAGGATTAATGGGAATACTTGAGGTGGGATCCCTGACCCACAAGGCATGAACAGGGCTGGGGCAGGAGGGAAACAACCTGCATTGGGGGAGAGATGGCATGCAACTAAGAAAACAACAAAGGGAAACAGAGGCATAAAATAAAGTTTATAAGCAGGCAGACAGGGGTTTGTCTTCTTCATAACAGAAAGGATCTCTGTAAACTAGCTGCATCAACTTTTTGTTGAATTGCTTGATAATTTAAATTACAGTAATTGACGTGGCACAAAATACGATTGCCATGCCCCATATTAATCTTTATCAACTAATGATTGATGATCTGGAAACAGAGTGAACCAGGCACAGATGTTGGCACATGGTTGTCTTAAGCACAAAGTTCTGTGCCTTGGACTTTTGTCCTAGTGCAGTCCATTACATGGGAACTCTGACCTTGGTCTCTGGCACCAGCAATCTGGCAACTCAATATCCAGACACAGTCCTCTCTGCTTTTATTCTTTTTAAAAATATTTTATTATTATTGCTATCATTTTATGATTCAGTTTCATATTTCCTTATCCTCTCCCCAATTCCCTCCTCCAAACCTAGTTCCTCTATATCATTACTAACATACAGTTCTTCATACTCAGTCATATGTCCATCATTGCGGGCATAGACAATGACAGAGTCCAGAATCCTATTGTCAAGATAGAGTAAACAGTTTCATTGTAAGTCCATCTTTGTCTAGAAGCAGAAATGCATACTACATTGTATCCTCACATCTGGATGTTAGTCTCCATTTCACAACTACTGTACATCCCCTTAAATGAAAAGTCATAATACAAAATCAACAATAGAAAAACAGAAGTTTACAGTGCCATGAAGTTAAATGACATGTTACTAGATATGACAGCCTCCATTACACAGCTACTATACATCCCCTTAAATGAAAAAATCACACAAAAAAATCAATATCAGGAAGAAAAAAGAAAGAAGTTAAACAACATGCTATTAAATGACGAAAGTGTAGCTGAAAAATGAAAATCAAGAATCTTCTTGAAGAAAATGATTCCACTGCATGATCTATAAGTCATTGAATGAATTAATCAGAAGAAAGTATTTTGAAGAGATGAAACCAAAGGAAAACAAAAAAAGCCCATGTGATATAGTTTCTGCTGATTTTTGTTGGTGAAATGTGTCTCTCCAGACAAGAAATAGAAGGGTTTTGTTTTGTTAATCCAGTCTACTAATCTATGATGTTTGATTGAGCTTAATCCATTTACATTCAGAGTTAAATATACACAGGTGGTACTTTGGTACTTTGGTCCTGTCGGTTGTCATTTTACTGGAATGTTCTTCCCATTTGCCTTTAGTTTTGGTAGGTGCTATTCCTCTTCTCTGTCAAGAGAACATCTTGGAGTATCATTTGTAGGGCAGGTTTGCAAGAGGCAAATTCTTTTAGCTTTTTTTTTTTCTTTTACTATGGAAGAATTTTATTTAATTTTCAAAGACAAAAGAAAGCTTTGCTGGATATGTTATCCTAGGCTGTCAAATTTTTTTTTATTATTTATTGTTGCTTACATTGTATTATGCAGTACAGTTTTATAGGCGCTGGGGATTCCCCCCACCCCTCCCATACCCTTCCCCCATGGTGGATTCCTCCACCTTGTTGCATAACCATAGTTCAAGTTCAGTTGAGATTCATTGCTTGCAAACACATGCCTAGCATAAAGTTCAGCGTCTTATTGTCCAGATAAGTTCAGTGGCCTCTTGGGGAGACCTCCTATGGTCTGAAGATAGGTCTAACAGAGTAAAGATCCGGTCAGTTAAAAGCCCCAACAAGGCCTCAGTATCAATATACAACATTATGGAATTAATTGACATAGTATTGGGTAAACAATATGTTAAAAATAATGCAAGTTCCATTCTTCGAAACATCTGGGTTGAGACAGTATCAATGACAGGTTCAAAAAATAACAAACAACCAAACAAAAATTACAGGTTAAATCAAGGCAAACATGTGCTATCTAATCTTTTGGGATTCACTCATTTCCCTTAGCATTATAGTTTCCAGTTGTGCCCATTTAGCCACAAAGAACTGCATTTTGTTTTTTTTAATAGCTGAGTAGTATTCCATGGAGTAGATGAACCAAAGCTTTCTTATCCAATCTTCTGCTGATGGGCATTTTGGTTGTTTCCATGTTTTTGCAATTACTGATTGTGCTGCAATGAACATAGGGATGCATGTTGGTTTGTCGTAAAACAGGTGTTTTGGATATATTCCTAGGAGTGCTATTGCTGGGTCATATGGTATGCAGATTTTGAGTTGTTTGAGTGTTCTCCAGACTGATTTCCATAGAGGCTGTACCAATTTGCAGCTCCACCAGCAGTGGAATAGGGTTCCCTTTTCCCCGCATCCTCGCCAGCAAGCGTCGTTGGTGTTCTTGTTTATGTGGGCCAATCTTGCTGGTGTTAGGTGGTACCTCATCGATGTTTTAATTTGGATTTCCCTTATTGCTAGGGAGCTGGAACATTTTTTCATATGTTTGTTTGCCATTTGGACTTGTTCCTTTGTGAAATGTTTGCCCATTTCCCGTGCCCATTTCTTGAGTGGCTTGTTCGTTTTGGTTTTTTGGTTGTTTTGAAGTTCTTTGTATATCCTGGAAATTAGCCCCCTATCGCCTATATCGTGTGCAAAGATCTTCTCCCACTCTGTGGGTTGCTTTTTTACTTTGTTGATTGTTTCCCTTGCTGTGCAGAAGCTTCTTAGTTTGATGTTTGTCCATTCTCTTCTTGCCTGTAGAGTTTCCTGTGAGAGATCTCCTGTGAGCTTTATTGGCATTCCTTTATATGTCAATTGATTTTCTTCACGTGCACATTTAAGGATCTTTTCCTAATTTTCAATTGAAGAGAGCTTAATTATCATATGTCATGGATTATCATATGTGGTGAAGATTGCTTTTGACCAAACCTGTTGGGAGTTCTGTGTGCCTCCTGGATCTTCTTTCTCAATTCATTCTCCAGATTAGGGAAACTTTCATTGATTATTTCATTAAATACATTTGCAAACTCAGCTTCTCTTTCTGCATCTTTTGGGATGCCCATAACTCTTCTATTTGGCTTCTTAACAGTGTCTTTCAATTCTTGAATACTTTTTTCGATCTGATCCAGCTCTGCTTCCAGCTTTTTGTTTGCTTCCCCCAGGTGACAGGAGATATCTTCCAATTCTGAGATTCTTTGTTCTGCCTCCTTCACTCCATTTTGGAGACTCTCCACTGAACATTTAATTTGTTGTACTGTGTTCTTAGTTTCTGATATACAAGCCTTGATTTGCTTTATTATGTCCTTAAATTCTTTGAACTCTTGTATGAGCTTCTCATTTTTTATCGGAATCTTTAAAATGAGTCTTATGGATTCTGTGGCCCCCATTTCTCGATGTCTTTCTTAGTTAACTCTGAGGTTGGCATAGGGTTTTGCTCCTTTGCAGGGGAGTTTTCAATAATATTCATTGTGCCTTTGTCTCTTCTTTTGCTCTTGATCATTGTAGTTCTGGTTAGCAGAGTCTTCTTCTTGGGGCAGGTTTCTAGGCTCTGTCAGCCACAGGTCTACAATGTGATTTTACTTATTGGATTGGTACACAACATTTTGCTTGCAGGCACTTGTGCCACAACCTCCAGCAAGTTCCAGGTCTGGGTTTTTATGTTAGATTTCCACTGTGGTCTCCACAGCCCCAGCTCCTGGCTCACCAATCTCCACCTCCTGTGATACCATGCTGAGGCTGCACTGTTGTCTCTACAACCTTTCTCCCACTTCTGGTTGGAGCAGATCTTAGGATTAGGGAGACACCAGGTGTCCTATATAATTAGGTTGTTGGTTGTGCTGATCTTGTTGGAACCTGTTGGACGTTAGGTCTGAGAGCTATCGGACCTATTTTGACCCATATGATGCCACAGTCGATTTTATTTTCCTACAGGATCTCAGTCAGTTCTCACAGGCTCAGCACATGTGCAGTTCACTTTGTCCCTGCAGTCCCAAAGCTATTGACACAACACGCAAAATGGTGCCTGATGTACCACCACTACAGTTCTTGATCTGTTGGCCATCAGATCCAAGGGCTTCCCAGTCCTACCCAGGTAAAACCCACAGAATGTCAAATCGTTGCAGTTCACTGAGTCAGAAATGAGTTCACTCCCAGCTCAGCACATGCTCAGTCCTTTCCCTTACATTTGCCTCCTTACGCAAAATGGCACCCAATACGGCTCTAGGGGGTGACTAGGCTATGAAATCCACTCTATTCTCGCACTGCCCATCTGAGATTTGCCGCTCTGTCTCTGCTCCTGGCCGAATCAAACAGACCAGTAGGGAGGACAGTTTTTTGTATTATTTCAACTCCCAAGCTCCCAGTGAAAGTCCCTTCCCATCTGGTTGGTGGTGGAGTTCCGACTGCTGTTGGAGTTCAGATCGCCATTAGCTGAATGTTGCTGGAGTATCAGTCACTGCAACACCACACCACTGTGCCCGCTGCCTTCCAGTGTCTGTCAGTCTCCAGATACCCCTCTGCTAGGTATCTTCTTCTATTTCCCGCAATGTGTCCTCTCTTCTTCATCCTGATTAAATGCTTCTCCATCCATTTAAATGTGTCCTTACCCTATTTCACCATCTTGATTCTCTGAGTCTCTCTGCTCTTCATAATCAAGTCACGTTTTTTGTAAAATTGTTTGCAACCATCCTCCACTGCTTCCCCAGGCCACAGTCAAGGAGATGGATGGGAAGCAGGGCTGCTCGGATTAAAACCAGTACTCATTTGTGATCCAAACGCATGCAAAGCAAGAACTTAAGCTGGTAGGCTATCATGCAGGACCCAGCAAGAAGATTCTTCTAGTTCTCCCTTGTTGGTGCATTGTTCGAAGACTTGGGGCCATCTTCTAGTATTCTCCCAGGACACAAGCAGAGAGCTGTATTGACAGTGGAGCGGCTGGGACACAAACTGGTGCCTACATGGGATCCCAGCAGATGCCAGGTGAGAATTTAGGGTAGAGCCCCATGCCCAGGCCTATTTTATGAAACAGCTAGATTCATATGTAGTTCTGAAGTATGGCAGGGTGACCTGAATACTTCAGAATTACAGCACTCTCCATGGAAGAAGCCACAAAGCTAAATTTTAGCCAACCACTTTAGGTGTAAATAACATCATGTACATATCATGAATGGTTAGAAGCATACAAATTATTCAGGACAAAATCCACAGGGGAGAGCAAGTAAGGAATTAGAATCACCATGAAGAAAAAAGACATGACACACAAAGCAAAGAACTAAACATACACGGAGAACAGTTCCACAGAAGACAGATGACTGCAGATGGAGTGTGACAGGAAGAACTCCACCAGGATGAAAAACAACTTGGAAATCAGAATGATCTTCAGAAAGATGTTACTGAGGTCAGCACAGTGCAATAACAGATTAGTTCTCTGCCTGCAGTACTAACATCTCATGTGGATGCCAGTTCAGGAACCAGCTGCTTTGTTTCTGATCCAGCTCCCTGCTGATGTGCCTGGGAGCACAACAGAGGATGGTCTCAGTGCTTGGGTCTTTACATCCAGGTAGGAGACCCAGAAGGAGCTCTGGGCTTCTGGCTTTCAACTGGCTCAGCTCTGGCCATTGTGGTCATCTGGGGAGTGAACCAGCAGATAGAAGCTCTTCTTTCTTTGTTTCTCCCAATTTTTCTATATCTCTCAAAGATAAATAAAATAAACCATAAAACAAAACAAAACAAAAACAGAAAAGTTTCTTGTGTCTTACACTTGAATAGGAATCCCTTGTGAGAAGAAAGTATGAGGTGGTGATTCTATTTTCAAAATCTTCACAAGATTCTTCAAAGTGAGGAGCCACACTATCTGCAATAGATCTGATTTCCTTCTTTCTCCCTATACATGTTCTATATATTTATGGACTGGCTCCATCTGCCTGTGATCTTGCCAGAGATGCTTGCCAGTCCTCCTACTCCCTTCCTAATGCTGCTTGGGAGTCTTCTGTGACTGGACCTTATTGCACTGGCCTTTCTGCTCCAGTCACCTGCCTTATACACAACCAGTCCAAAGTTCAAGACCATTTATCCTGTTGATAATCAGCAAATATACTTTTTGTATAGCCATTTGTTCTCATGTGGTGACAAGAGAAAATTGTCCTGATCCCCTCTCTTCAGAATGCTCACTGGATTGAGATCCTTACTCCTCTGGATCAATTTATTCTCCCTTTTCTCTTCCTCCCACCTTGTTCCCATGGTTGATTGATGGAATTTTTTTACTTCTACCTGCCCTCTTTCATTCTCTCTTCCAACAAGAGTGTGCAACACAAATTTTTGCATTCCTGCCTGTATAGGGTCAACCTTGCTTCTGTCATGGCCAGCCAAAGTTTTCCCACCAAGCTGAAGCAGGAAGTGACCTGCCCTATCTGCCTGGAGATTCTACGAAACCCTGTCACCATTTACTGTGGGCACAGCTTCTGCCACAGTTGCATCACTCAGCTTAAGGAAACTTCTAAGGATTTCTTCAAATGTCCCCTCTGCAAAAGTTCCATGAATAAGGATTCATTCTTGCCCAACTGGCTATTGGGGAATCTGGTGGAAAGAATTCAAACTATGGATCCCTCTGAGATGTGCCTAGAAGAAGAAAAGCTGAGATGTTAAAAGCATGGAGAGAAGCAGCACTACTCCTGTGAGGCAGATGGGAAACTTCTCTGTATGATGTATCATGACTCCAAGGAGCACAAATCCTGTAACACCAGCCTACCAAGCTGCCAAGCATCATCAGGTAGGCACTGGGGCTCTCCTTTGCTCATAGGAGTTCAGTCAATATCTTTAAAGCTGTTGACTCCTTTCTGTGGGTTTGTTCTCTGTGGCTCTGGTAAATTATACTTACCCAGGCATACAAACTAAGGTTCTAATCTGGGGAATGTCTGACCATGCCAATCATGGAATAATGGACAGGGGAAAACAAGTCAGGAATCAGAATCAACATGGAGAAGGAAGGAGAAACAGGATAATCATAACACACAGCAAAGATTGAAGACATATGAGAGAAGCTCCGCAGAGGTCATGTGGCTACAACTGGTATGCACCAGGATCAAGGACTATGTGGAAAACACAATGATCTTCAGAAAGGATGTTCCTTAGGTCAGTGTAGTGGAGTAACAAGTTATGCCTTTGTTAATATCACTAGCATTCCATGTGGGCACCAGTTCGTGTCCCGGGTGTTACACTTCCAGATCCAGCTCCCTGCTGCTGTGCCTGGGAATGTGGTAGAGGATGGCACGGGGCCTTGTGCCTGCACAACTACATGGGAGACTCAGAGGAAGCTCCTGGGCCCTGGCATTGGACTGGCTCAGTGCTGGCCATTGTGGTAATCTATGGGGTGAACTAGAAAATAAATAACAGCCCTCTCCCTTTTGTCTCTCCCTCTCTCTCTGAAACTGTCTCAACAATAAAAAAAGAAAGAAAGAAATCCTAAAACTAAACAAAATAAAGCAAAAACAAAAAGGAAGTAAATTGTTCTTCCACATAACTGGGAATCCCTGAAGAGAGGAATAGTATGAGACAGTGATTTTTGTTTCTTTCACTTTTTCACAAGAATGTTCAAGTGAAGAGCCACATTACCTGGAGTAGATCTAATTTCCATCTTCCTCCCACATGCATGCTTTCTCTCTCTGTCTGTCTCTCTCTTCCCCTGGACTTAGTTTCACTTGCCTGTGACCTTGCCAGAGAAACCTGCCACCCAACCATTCCACCTCCTTCCTAATGGTTCTGGGAAGTTGGGAAGTCCTCTGTGACTGGACTTTAGTGCCCTGGCCATTCTGATACAGTCACCTGCTTTATACACAACCAGTCCAAAGTTCAAGACCACTTATCCCATATACAATCAGCAACCATACTGTCTCAGTACCATTTGCTCCCAAGTGGTGAATGAAGAGGATTGTCCTGTTGTTTCCCTTATCTTCAGAATGCTCACTGGATTGAAATCCTTAGTCCTTTGGATCAGCTTGTTCTCCTTCTACTTTTCCTCCCAGCTTGCTTCCACGGTTGATTTACATACTCTTTGACTTCTGCCTGCTCTCTTTCTTTCTCCAGCAGCATCCACTGCCAACTTACAGGATTACTGTAGGCTGGGGTCAGCCTGTATACTCTTCCATGGCGAGCCAAAAGTTTTTCACCAACCTGCAACAGGAAGTGACCTGCCCCATCTGCCTGGACATTCTGCAGGACCCTGTCACCATTGGCTGTGGGCACAACTTCTGCCAATATTGCATAAGAAAATGTCAGGGCGCGAACCATGCCGGATTTCCAGCCACAGCTTCCGCCGCTTGCGGCGGAGGCAGGGACGCCGGCATCCCCCTAGCCAGGGGGCAACTAAGCCCCCTCGCGAGTAAGTACCCGCGAGGGCTGGCGAGGGAGCTGGGGTTCAAAACCTGGCTCCCCTCTACCCCCGTCAGCTTTGGGCTGACGGCAGGGTAGGCTGGGCGGTTCGAATGTCCGGGCAGGGGCGGGGTTAAACTCCCATTGGGGGTGGCGCCCCATGGGAGCCGTTCCTTCCGGCGCGAACCATGCCGGATTTCCAGCCACAGCTTCCGCCGCTTGCGGCGGAGGCAGGGACGCCGGCATCCCCCTAGCCAGGGGGCAACTAAGCCCCCTCGCGAGTAAGTACCCGCGAGGGCTGGCGAGGGAGCTGGGGTTCAAAACCTGGCTCCCCTCTACCCCCGTCAGCTTTGGGCTGACGGCAGGGTAGGCTGGGCGGTTCGAATGTCCGGGCAGGGGCGGGGTTAAACTCCCATTGGGGGTGGCGCCCCATGGGAGCCGTTCCTTCCGGCGCGAACCATGCCGGATTTCCAGCCACAGCTTCCGCCGCTTGCGGCGGAGGCAGGGACGCCGGCATCCCCCTAGCCAGGGGGCAACTAAGCCCCCTCGCGAGTAAGTACCCGCGAGGGCTGGCGAGGGAGCTGGGGTTCAAAACCTGGCTCCCCTCTACCCCCGTCAGCTTTGGGCTGACGGCAGGGTAGGCTGGGCGGTTCGAATGTCCGGGCAGGGGCGGGGTTAAACTCCCATTGGGGGTGGCGCCCCATGGGAGCCGTTCCTTCCGGCGCGAACCATGCCGGATTTCCAGCCACAGCTTCCGCCGCTTGCGGCGGAGGCAGGGACGCCGGCATCCCCCTAGCCAGGGGGCAACTAAGCCCCCTCGCGAGTAAGTACCCGCGAGGGCTGGCGAGGGAGCTGGGGTTCAAAACCTGGCTCCCCTCTACCCCCGTCAGCTTTGGGCTGACGGCAGGGTAGGCTGGGCGGTTCGAATGTCCGGGCAGGGGCGGGGTTAAACTCCCATTGGGGGTGGCGCCCCATGGGAGCCGTTCCTTCCGGCGCGAACCATGCCGGATTTCCAGCCACAGCTTCCGCCGCTTGCGGCGGAGGCAGGGACGCCGGCATCCCCCTAGCCAGGGGGCAACTAAGCCCCCTCGCGAGTAAGTACCCGCGAGGGCTGGCGAGGGAGCTGGGGTTCAAAACCTGGCTCCCCTCTACCCCCGTCAGCTTTGGGCTGACGGCAGGGTAGGCTGGGCGGTTCGAATGTCCGGGCAGGGGCGGGGTTAAACTCCCATTGGGGGTGGCGCTTCATGGGAATGACCCTTCCGGTTGAGAGGCGGGGGCAGAGACCCAGGCCTTGGGCGGCCAGTGCACCAAGTGGTGCCAGGCTCTGCCTGCTGGCCGCCCAGCGGCGAGCTCTGGGGTTTTGAGGATATGAAATAGGTGCTCTGGGACACCCAAAAGTAAGACCAGCGGTAGTGTAGGTGAGACACTAATTTCTGGTGATTCCCAGGAATCGGGACATGAAACCTTAATGAAAGTGAGGGACTGAGAGATGAATGTTCGGACTAAGCAAACCTTAGCCCACTAGTATGACTGGAACACAGGGTGCAACACAGGACATGCCCGGCTTGGATTTGGCTCCAACTGGTTCACATTAAGCACAAAGTTGAGCCACAGAGTCTAAGGCAGAGGTCATGACAGGTGGACGGGGCTGCGGCAGGGTCTGGATACAGCTATCCTCTCCCTTGGCACAAATGTGGATTGGGAAAAGAGGTACCGGGCCGGGCCAGACACTAACACGTTCTGGTGCTCTGGAGTACCAGGGTGGATGTGGGGCGGACTAGGCTAGGTCCCAACCTCAACTTAGCCATGTACAAGCCATATGGGGGCATGGATGACCATGGCCAAGCTGCAACACTCTACAGCAAGAACCAGAACGGGATGATGGCCAGTTAGGAAAGACCACTGTTCCTACAAGGACAAGAGGCGAACTGGCACATCGACCCACTGACATGCGCGAAACCTGGCACATGGAGGGGTTCTGATGGAGGAGCCCAGGCAACTCCTCTGGCAAGACACAGACCCTGCAGGCCAGCACAAGGAACTTGCAAGGCAACAGCCAAGAGGTCATTGAAAGTGTCCCACTGGCATGCATTTGGCTTGGGTCGGGGGCAGACCAGGCTGAATCTGTTCATGTCATCCACTGGTAAATCTGACCGCCAGAACAGAATGTGGGTCGAACCAGGTCCGGTCGTAACAAAAGTAACACGCAGGCTGGAATGCCAAGGTGAGGTAGCCTGAGCCGGATGCAGCCGCAGCACCCAACCAACACAAGTGAGAACCAGGAAGGGAGGCGGCAGAGCTGACAGGAGAAAAAGGGGAGGCTCCCTAGCTGAACAGCAAGTTACACTGAGGAGCGGGAGCTGGGTGGGGGGTAGACTAGACCAGGCAGGGACACAGCGCCTGTGCACCTCATGGGGACCAGATTGGGTGATAACCAGGCTAGGCTGACCAATCCCATTGGAGTAAGCTACAACCAGAGTTGGTGAGGGTTGTCGGGCTTAGTTGTAGCAACAGAAGGGTAACGGGGACAGACTGGGCTAGTATGCCATATATACTGGCAAGCCAGGGTAGGAGGTGGGCCTGGTTGAGGCTACTGTGGGCCGCCCTGACTGGGCTGCAACTCCTACTAGTTCGTGCGAGGGACAAATGCGTCCAGGGTGGAACCAGGCGGGACTGTAAGAAGACACGGGTGGAGACAGAACCGGCCCAGCAACTGCAGCCGCCAGCTGTCCGGGGCAGTGGACTGTGACGGACCCTATGCTACTAAAACAGCAGGAATCTGGACTGGGAATACCTCAAAATTTCTTCGAGGATCTTCCCATTCGAGACACCGGACTCGGAGTCCTAACCAGGGAAAGACAGGACAAATCAAGCAACAACCTCAGCCATCTGATGGCAGCAGAGACTGGGCAAATGGAGACCCTAGACGGGACTGTGTCAATCAACGAACTCTTCAATGACCACATCATGATTGGGGTGGCGAGACAGGCAACGACCCATGGATAGTGAACTATTGGAACCACTTGATCGAGTATCTCGAAGCGCACCCCACTCCCGGGACTTGGGGTGGGCGGGAGATTGGGTGGGGCTTCTTCCTCTATATCCCCCTTTAGACCTTGACCCTTTTTTACCCCAATTAAATTTGTAAGGATTGTCAAAATTAAAAAAAAAAAAAAAAAAAAAAAAAAAAAAAAAAAAAAGAAAATGTCAGCATAAGGAAACTTCTGGGGATCATTTCAAATGTCCCATCTGCAAGTGTTCCGTGAGAAAGAACACATTCATACCTAACTGGCAGTTGAGGAATCTGGTGGAGAAAATCCAAGCTGTGGATTCCTCTGAGATGAGGCCAGAAGAGGAGGAGCTGAGATGTTCAAAACATGGGGAGAAGCTGCACTACTTCTGTGAGGAGGATGGGGAACTCCTCTGTGTGGTGTGTCGTGACTCCAAGGACCACAAATCCCATAACACCAGTGTGATGGAAGAAGCTGCCCAGCATCACCAGGTAGGCACTGGGGCTCCCCTTTACTGATGGGAGTTCAGTAGAGATCTGCAAGCTGTTTCCTCCTTCCTGTGGGTTTGTTCTCTATGGCTCCTTCAGGTTCCACTTAACCAGGCCCACTGAGCTTAAGGTTCTAATCTGGGGAACTGCTGTCCATGTGAATCAGGGAATAATGGAGGATGGAAAAGACACATTGTTCCTGCTTATCTTTAATCTATTTCCTTTCTTTCATTTATTATAATATAAGTATTGCTACTTTATAATACAGTTCCATAGGCACTGGCTTATCCTTTACACCCTCCTCTAAACCCTGTGCCTCCACATTAACTTCCTCTATATCATTACAATAGTATGGTTCTTCATAAACATTCATAAAACCAACATTGCAGGCTTGGACAATAGCAGAGTCCTACATCCTACTGACAATATAGATGCAGCAATTTCCTTGGGGGTACATCTTTGATCTTGTATTAGAAATGCATACTGCATCATATTACATCTGAGCATGATCATCTCCATTACACAGTCACTACACATCTCCCTAAGTTAAAAACCACAAAACAAAACCAACAACAGGAAGAAAAATAGAAATTTACTACCCCATGAAGTTAAACAACATGCCACTTAGTGATCAATGTGCTGCTGAAGAAATGAGAAAGAAAATTAAGAACTTTCTTGAATAAAATGATGCTACTATATTATCCTTTATCCAATGAAGACTTTAATGAGGAAAAAAACTGTTTTGAAGAAACAAAAACATCATTTGATAGAGTTTCTGCTGATCTTTCTTGGTGAGATGTGCCTCCCGTAGGTAACAAATAGATGGGTTTCACTTTGTAATCAAGTGCAATAATCTATGACATTTCACTGGTGAGTTTAAGTCATTTATATTCAAGGTTAATAAGAGTATTCTTTGGACTTTACTGTGGAAGAATTTTATTTATTTTCAAAACAAAGGAAAACTTTTCTGGGTACATTAGTCTGGACTGAGAATTGTTTGCTTTGAGAATCTGAAATATATCACTCCATGCTCTTTTCATCTGTGGATTTTCTTGTAAAAAGTCAGCTGTGAGTCTGATTGCCATTCCTGTATATGTCAAATCATTTTTTTCACATGAACATCTAAGGATTTTTCCTTATGTTCAGCTGAATAGAGCTTGATTACCATATGTTGTGGTAAAGATCACTTTTGGTCAACCCTGAAATGGAGTTCTATGCTTCACCTGTTTTTTGTTTCCCAATTCTTTTTGAGATTAGGGAAATAATCCTTTATTATTATATTAAACACATATTTTCAACAGAGCTTCTCATTCTGCACCTTCTGGAACACACCCATTACTCTTATTTTGGTCTTTTAATTGTGTGTCTCAAATCTTGAACTTTTTAAAAAATCTCTGTTTCTTGTTTTTTGGTTGTTTTCCATCTATGACAAGAACTATGTTCCGATTCTGAAATTCTTCTGCCTCATTCATTCTATCACTGAGTTTTTCAACTGAATTTTTAATTTTCTCTATAACATTCGCCATTTCCAATAATTTGGCTTGGTTTTATTCCAGTGTTGCTATTTCCTGTGTAATGTATTTCTTAAAATCCTGAAATCCTGCATATCCTCCTCATTGTTGATAAGAAGCTTCTGTGTCCCCCATTTAACTGGTGTATCCTTCAGTTAACGCTGAGTTAAGCAAAGGCTTTTGCTCATTTGCAGGGGAATCTTCAGTAATACTCTTTTTGGCTCCTGGTCTTTGCACTTCTGGTTAGCATGCTCTTCTCCTTAGGGCAGGTTTCTAAGCTGAATTGCCAACAGATCTACATTTTGATTTTACTTAGTGCAGTTAGTATCCAGTTCTTCGCTTGGAGTCACTTGTGCCACTCCCTCCAGCGAGTTTCATGCCTGGGCTCTAGTGTTAATCTTCCACCACAATCTCTATTGCCCCAGATCCTGGCTCATCACTTTCCACCTCCTGTGATTCCATGATGAGCTTACATATACCTTTGTCCATACAACCTTTCTCCCATTGCCTGTTGAGCAGTTCCCAGGATAAGGGAGATACCAGGAGTCCTAAATAATTAGGTTGTTGGTAGTGCTGATCTTGCCAGCACCTGCTGGCCATTAGGTCTTAGGATCACATGAAACTTTTGACCTAAAGAATGCCAAAATCAGCATTATTTTTCCCTGTGGGACCAGTGTAGTGCACTGAACTTAGTGACTTCACTTCCAGCACATGAAGCTCATTTCTGTCTGTAGTCTCAAAGCCCTTGCCACAATGTACAAAATGGCACCTTATGTGCCACTGGTGGAGGTCTGGATCTGCTGTCTGTTAGGTATGGGGGATACCTGAACCTATTCTGAGTGGACTCTGAAGGATGTCCTGTTGGTGCAATACACTGAGCCATAAATAGTTCTCTCTGAGCTTAGTGCATGCACAGTCTTGACTCATTGCCTTTGCCTCCCTACACAAAATGGTGCCCAATGCAGCTCTGGTTGGGTCTCTGCTGTGAAATCCACCATGTTCCTACAATGCCTGATTGGGTTAAGCTGGTCTGTCTCTGCTCCAGGTTGGATCAAACAAATCAGTGGAATGAACAGTTCTTTGCCTGGGTTCACTTGCTGAGCTCCTGATGAACACTCCTTTCCACCTGGCTGTTGGTGGAACTCAAATCAACACTGACTGCTGCTGGTGTATGTGGTCACTGCAACACCACACTGTTTTCTCCACTGTTTCCTATTGTCCATCCTTCTCCAGGTGCTCCTCTGCCATTGACCTGTTCTCTCCTATTTCCTGGAATGTTCCCTCTTTTGCTTCACCCTGGCTAATGATTCTCCATCTGGTTAAATATGTTCTTACCCTATTCCACCATCTTGATTCTCCAAAACAGATTTTTCAAAGATTTTTTAAAAAAAATTTTTATTGGAAAGTTAGGCTTAGAGAGAATAGGAGAAACAGGGAGAGAAAGATCTTCCATCCATTAGTTCACTCCCCAAATGGCTGCCCCAGCCCTAAATGAGCCAATCTAAAGCCAGGAGCCAGGAATTTCCTCTGGATCTCCCTTCAAGTTCAGTTTCTCAAGAGTTTGGGCTATCCCCTGCTGCTTTCCCATGCCACAAGCAGGAAACTGGATGGAAAGTGAAGTAGCCATTACTTGAATCAGCACCATGGTATCTTGGCACTTGTACCAGGAGAATTAGACAATTAGTTATCATATCAGGCCCCATGGATTAAAGAAGAAGAAGAGAAAGAGGAAAATATGGAGGAGTCGGAGACAAGAAAGAAGAAGAAGAAGAGAATGAAGAGGAGGAGAAAGAGGAGAAGGAGGAGGAAGGGAATTTGTTTTTATGTGAATGTCAAGTTAACAGAGAGAAGTAGAGAAAGATCTGCTGGTTCATTCCCCAAATAGCTGTAATTGCTACAGTTGAGTTGATACTAAGCCAAGAGCCAGGAGCTTGGAGCCAGCAGCTTCTTCTGGGTCTACCATGTGGGTTCAGGGTCTCAAGAAATTGAGTTATCCTTCTTTGCTCTTCCAGGCTATATGCAAAGAAGTGGATCAAAGTGGAGCAACCTGGACTTGAACCAGTTCCCACAGGGGATGTTGGCAACTGAAAGGGGACAGATTAGCCTATTGAGCCATGCACTAGTCCCAAGGTATAAGAGTTTGATTCATGTGGTATCTAATCTTTTGGGATTCGCTCATTTCCCTTAGCATTATAGTTTCCAGTTGTGCCCATTTAGCCACAAAGAACTGCATTTTGTTTTTTTTAATAGCTGAGTAGTATTCCATGGAGTAGATGAACCAAAGCTTTCTTATCCAATCTTCTGCTGATGGGCATTTCGGTTGCTTCCATGTTTTTGCAATTACTGATTGCGCTGCAATGAACATAGGGATGCATGTTGGTTTGTCGTAAAACAGGTGTTTTGGATATATTCCTAGGAGTGCTATTGCTGGGTCATATGGTATGCAGATTTTGAGTTGTTTGAGTGTTCTCCAGACTGATTAGATAGCACATGTTTGCCTTGATTTAACCTGTAATTTTTGTATGGTTGTTTGTTATTTTTTTGAACCTGTCATTGATACTGTCTCAACCCAGATGTTTCGAAGAATGGAACTTGCATTATTTTTAACATATTGTTTACCCAATACTATGTCAATTAATTCCATAATGTTGTATATTGATACTGAGGCCTTGTTGGGGCTTTTAACTGACCGGATCTTTACTCTGTTAGACCTATCTTCAGACCATAGGAGGTCTCCCCAAGAGGCCACTGAACTTATCTGGACAATAAGACGCTGAACTTTATGCTAGGCATGTGTTTGCAAGGAATGAATCTCAACTGAACTTGAACTATGGTTATGCAACAAGGTGGAGGAATCCGCCATGGGGGGAGGGGCATGGGAGGGGTGGGGGAAATCCCCAGCGCCTATAAAACTGTACTACATAATACAATGTAAGCAACAATAAAAAAAAATTAAAAAAAAAAGAGTTTGATTCAGAAGATATCAACACCACACTGAGGTCTCTAAGATGTCATTATGTCAGATGCAATTTGACATCAAGGAGCAGCCTCCTCTATGGCTCCTCACCAAGTTCCCCCAGCAGAAACAGAAGAAAAAAGAAAAGAAGTGAACAATTTGTGTCACTAACTTTCTTCCATACCTTGACCCTCCCCACCCTAATTAGCGATGCACATAGGCATGCAAACCTCTCCACTATGTAAGCAATATAAAAAATAAAATTAAAAATATAAAATTGGGCCCGGCATGGTGGCACAGTGGTTGAGGTCCTCGCCTTGCATGCCCAGGAACCCATATGGATGCCGGTTCTAATCCCGGCTGCCCCTCTTCCTATCCAGCTCCCTGCTTGTGGCCTGGGAAAGCAGTCAAGGACGGCCCAAAGCTTTGGGACCCTGCACCCGTGTGGGAGACCCGGAAGAGGCTCCTGGCTTCGGATCGGCATAGCATCGACCGTTGCGCTCACTTGGGGAGTGAATCATCGGACGGAAGATCTTCCTCTCTGTCTCTCCTCTCTGTATATCCGCCTTTCCAATAAAAATAAAATAAATCTTTAAAATATATATATATATATAAAATTCATAAAAAAAAAAAAACGTGGCCTCAAATTCAGACTTTCAGTTGAGTGTGGCTTTAAAAGATTCTCTGGGGTTCTCTGAACCTCAGATGCATCAGCTATGAAATTAAACTGACGTCTTTAAAAAAAAAAAGAAAAAGAATTGTGGAATTCCTCTTAAAAAATCCTGTCTTTCTTGAATGAAATTAGAAAGACTACTGAAGCTCATGCTGTGCAGTTCTCCTGGAAGCTTGCAGGGCAGATCATGGTTAATGTTTTTCTGAGACAGAAGTTGTGCATTTCAAAGTATAGAGTTGATGTCTTGAAGTAGGGCCTGGGTAATATGATTTTTTTGCTTAGCTAGTATGTATATGAGACTGAAAACTCACTGACATGAAGTCCATGGTGGTATTTATTGCCCTTCCCACTTTTCTTTGAGTCCCAAGAGTTCCTTAAAACTCAGCTACATTGTTTGATAAATCAGAGGAGGCACACATATGTAGGAATATTCCTTCTATCTGTATTAGCAGCTATAGAGAGAATCTCATCTGCACAATTAAAACTATCTCTTTTGAAATGAAAATGTGACTCTAAAATGAGTTGACCCAGGTATACTATCTTCCAGTAAAGAAAGGAGCTGAAATCCAAATAATATAAAAGTCAGGCTTATTGCATTGATAGTAGGCTTATAAAACAGCTTATAATTCAATTCAAATAATGCACATCCTATGGAGAAGGCTATGATAGTAGCCCCCTAGAAATGTTTGCATGCTTTTGGCAGGGTCCATAGGATGGGTAGGTAGTGACTTAGGCTATCCTTTCCTTTCAAAGACTTTAATAAGAGCAGAGTTAAAAAGGTCTTGCCTTTGAACTGGCTTTGATTATCCTTCTTTCAATATCTCATCCTAGTACATGTCTATGCATGCTACTGACAGAGGCAATTTAATCCAGGGAATTTTGCCTCTGTGCTTGAACCATGAGAGTAGTGAGCAAAATACAATGCAAAGAGAGAATTGGGAGCCAATCTTGTTCCTTCAACTCTGGCAACATTGACATTGCAGATCATTGCCAAAACTGCACAAGCAACTTCAACGGTTTAGACAAAAGATCACTGGCAAGTGCAGGAGTCAGAAGTGCCCAGTAACTACCCCCCCGTGTGCCAGACAAGCAGGGTGTCCATGGCTGATGGCACCCTGAAGAATGCACAGTGAGGAATTCCAGTGAGCAGGAAGCAAAGAAACAGATAAGGCATGTGTGCCCAAGGGGGAAAAAAAAGAGTACATACAAATATTACAACCTTTCAAGTGGACATAGTCTAAATAGGGACCCAGACATAGCTTGACTCAGAGATTATAAACTCCACATTGTAGTAAACATAACTGATCATGCAAATCTTAATTGAATTGGAAATAAGGGGGATAATAAATATAATCAGATATCCACAAAAAAAAGAAAAAGAAAAAATATTTATTTGTTTAAAAGGCAGAGTTAGAGAAAGAGTTAAACAGAGAGAGAGAGAGAGAGAGAGAGAATGAGAGAGAGAGAAATCTTCCATCTTCACCATCTTTACTCTCCAAATTGCTGAAATGGTTGGAGCTGAGTCTACCGCATAAGTGTAGGAATCCAAGGACTTGGGCCAGTCTTCACTGTTTTCCCAGGGCATTAGCAGCACACCCCAAACATACCTCTTAAAACTGTTGGCAGAACAGCTGAGGAAAAGGTCATGGGAATATTTTTTGAAGCACCATCCTAACATTGTTCGTAGTCATAGCAACCCTTTTATCTTTTAGGCCACTTAGGTTCTGATTTCTCCCTTTGCCCCCAACTCAAGGAAGCAGTGTGGATTAACACTTACTCCCATAACTCCCTGGAGCCTTTCATGTGCTCTCAGGAGGTTTTTATGTGGCCAAGAGAAATCCTGGCAGAGCCTTGTCTGAAGGTCCCTCTCCCCACAGGAACAGATCCAGGTGCAAGTGGCAGCTTTGCAGCAAAAAGAGCAGGAACTGGTGCATATAAAGGCTCAAGACGAAAAGAAGATCAGCAACTTCATGGTAAGTAAAAAACTCCACCCTGTGTTGCTTTGGTTTTGATGTGTCAAAGGAAAAAAAAAAAGATATGAAAGCAAAATAATACTGGAAAACCCTCTGGAAAGATGAATTTTAGGAAAATTCTCTCTTTTAAAAATGCTCATAACAGTTTTATTTACAGTATAGACTAGGAAGAGAAAACTTAAACATCCACCAGTAGACAATAAATATGCAAATATACTGTATACATTCAATGGAATGCAAATGACAGTGTATGGTTTAACTCACACAGCACTACAAAAATATGTGCAAAATGGCAATAAAAGATATGATTATTTTAATGCAAAAGTAATTTGAATTTGTTTTTTTCTAATAAACTTTTTCCATGAAATTCATTATATTTTTTGAATGTCTAAATTTTTTAAGACATAGTTGATAAGGGTTTGAAGGGTTGAGGAGACCGTTGTTTACACATTTTCTTTTTCTTCTTCCTGTAGGTGGTAGTGGCAGGGAGGGGACATAAGGGGAGAAATCATGCCCTGCCACCCAATTTCCTCAGTACCCAGAGATGGGAAACAGCCAGCCAATGTCATCCCAGGATCCCCATTGTGAAGCATTTTCTGAGTGTTCTGTTCTTGTGGTTTCAATAGTTCTGAGGTGGTAGTGATATCAGCATTTCAAGGATAAGGAAATCCTTCCAAGATCAATTGTCTGACATAGTCTACCTCAGAGTCTCCATTCGCCTCACTGCAGGAGTTGATCATTTTGCTGTGCTTTCCTTCTTGTGCAAACCAATGAGTCCTACAGCTTAGCCAAGCTCTGTTCACCACACGATCGGCCCTTACATACACCAGGGAAAGCTCTAGCCCAGTCAGGAAAACCCATAATAACTCCCATGGGACCAGCCCACACGTCTGGTTCTTGTGGCTGCCAGCATGTGGAGTGGACTGGTCCGTCTGTCCCATATCCCATTCAGATGCTGTAGACTGGCCCCACCTGGTCTGCTCCTACTCCACTTTGTGATGGTGGGTCCTACCACCCAACTTGGCACAGTCAGCCCTCAATCTCAGCTCTAATGTCAACTGGCTGGTCCTGAGCCTGACCCAGCCTGACCCAGCCTGACCCAGCCTGACCCAGCCTGACCTGGACAACATGTTAGGTCTCAGATCTGCAAGATCGGCCACCTCCAGACCTGAGCCACATGTATGATGACAAATACTACAACCTGGCCTGGTCGGGTTTGGTCTGCTCCTTGCGTTGGTTCTTGTGCTTACCTGAAGGGATTACATGATGACAAAGGAGTGCCCCCAAGCTCCTCTATGTGGACTCTTCCCAATGGGGATCCTCACACATACTGGTGAATCTTTTTTCCAGCCTGACTTAGGCAGCAACAGTGGCTTAGGCAAATTCTTTAAAGCAAAAGTGATGATATAAATGACAGTGTGACACTGATCTCAAAGGAAGCGTTTTATTAAAAAAAAAAAAAAATCAAGACTGGAGCAGAAGAGTGACAGTGAGAGGAGAGAGATTTGCTGCACATTGGTTTTCTTTCCAATACCCTCAGTGGTGAGGAGACAGTCCAGGCAGAAGCCAGGAGCTCTGAGCTTCATCCAGGTCTCCCATGCAGTGACAGGAGCGCAGTGTTTGGGCTGTTTTCTGTTGTCTTCCCAGGTGCTTTAGCAGGAACTGGATTAGAAGCAGAGCAGCCAGTACTTGAACCGGCACTCAAATATGGGATTCTTTCATTGCAACTAATTGTTTAATGGGCTGCACCACAACACATGTATGGGAAGTACTTTTTTTTAAGATTTATTTATTTTCCATTACAAAGTTAGATATACAGAGAGGAGGAGAGACAGAGAAGATCTTCCATCCACTGATTCACTCCCCAAGTGAGCGCAATGGCCAGTGCTGCACCGATCCGAAGCTGGGAACCAGGAACCTCTTCCAGGCCTCCCACAAGGGTGCAGGGTCCCAAAACTTTGGGCTATCCTTGACTGCTTTCCCAGGCCACAAGCAGGGAGCTGGATAGGAAGTGGAGCTGCCAGGATTAGAACCGGCATCCATATGGGATGCCAGTGCATTCGTGGCGAGGACTTTAGCCACTAGGCCACCATGCTGGTGGTCTGCATCTTGGTGCGGTGGGTTAATCCGCTCTGTTGACATTGGCATCCCATAAGAGTACTAGCTTGCCATCTAGCTGCTCTATTTCCAATCCAAGTCCCTGTCTATGCACCTAGGAAAGCAGCAGAAAAAGGCACAAGTGCTTGGGCAACTGCACCCATATGGGAGATTTGAATGGAGTTCCTGCCTACTGGTTTCAGCCTGGCCAAGCCCAGGCTGTTTGAGCATTTGGGCAGGGAGGCAGCAGATAGAAGATCTCTCTCTTACTCTCTCTCCTTTTTCTTAGCCATTATAATAAACACATCTTTATAAGGAAAATGTTTGTTCTTCTCACACCCTCTCAAGCCCTTACCTTGTTCTAAGTTGCTACTCAGTATAATCAAATACAAAAATTAAACTGGAATAGCAAGGGTGGAAGCACAGCTGAGGACATCTCTTCTGTTTCTCTGTACCTCACCCCAGACCCAGGTGGAGTCTGAGAAGCAACGGATCCACACAGAATTCAAGCACCTGCAGCAGATACTGGAGGAAAAGAAGAGCATCTGTTTGTCTGGCATTGAATGTCTGGCTCAGGAGGGCACCAAGGAGTGTGAACGCTACAACACTGCCACCCAGGCACAGCTCAACTCTCTCAAGGACACCATCAATTCCCTGAGTACCAAGCAGCAGATGCCACCCAGACAGCTGCTACAGGTGATTCCCTCCAGGGCAGAATCCATGTGGTGTGGAGTCCCTCCCTGGTCTGGTCTAGCACCCAGCACCTGTCAGAATCCCCAGGTTAGCCCCAGCCACCGTGCCTCTAGAGCAGAATCATTCCAGCAGAAAAAGTCAAAGTGGTAATGTATCATTTGGAAGGAGAGTATGAGCTGCATGTGTGATTTGAATATGCAAACCACATGTGAAAATTATAAATATAATGAGTTACCACCCAGTATAAATTAGAAATATAACATGAACTACATGTATAATTTAGAAATATATTGCCAGCCACATATGAGAAGCTTCAGCACGATAAAGGGCACCAGCATGCCATATGGATGCTGGTTAGAGTGCAAGCTGCTGTAATTCTAGTCCAATTTCTTGCTAACATTCCTAGGCAAGCAGCAGAAAACAGGCCAAAGCCTTGAGACCCTGCAACTACACGAGAAACAGATAAGTGGCTCCTGGCATTGGATTGGTTCAGCTCCAACTGCTGCAGACACTAGGGTGGGTGAAACAATGGTTGCAAGATAACGAGAGACTGTCTCTCTTTATCTCTGCAAATCTGACTTTCCAATAAAAATAAATAAAGGCTGAAAAAAGGAGGGCACAGTAGCCAAGAGGTTAAAGTTCTCACCTTGCATGTGCCAGGATTCAATATGTACACAGGTTCGCATTCTGCCAGCCCTGCTTCCCATCCAGCTCCTTGCTTGTGGCCTGGGAAAGCAGTCAAGAAAAGCCCAGAGCCTTGGGAATTTGCACCCACCTTGGAGACCTGGAAGAGGCTCCTGGGTCCTGGCTTTGAATCAGCTCAGCTCCCAGGTGATTTTTTAAACACCAAAACAAACAAACCACTCAAGAAATGGACATGGGAAATGGGTAGACATTTCACAAAGGAAAACCCAAATGGCAAACAAACACATGAAAAAAATGCTCAAGTTTCCTGGCAATAAGGAAAAGCCAAATTACAACATCAATGAGGTACCACCTAACACCAGTAAGAATGGCTCATATACAAAAACCACCAACAATACTTGCTGGCGAGGATGTGGGGAAAAGGGAACCCTACTCCACTGTTGGTGGGACTGCAAACTTAAAAAAACAAAAAAAAAAATAAACAAAAAAAAATCATGTGATGAAGAAATTATAAAAAGATTTCAAATTTTTTGACACAAACTAAAATTTTCTTTTTTAAAAAACAGAGACTTATTTATTTTTATTGGAAAGTCAGAAATACAGAGGAGGAGAGACAGAAAGGAAGATCTTCCATCCATGGATTCACTGCCCAAGCTGCGGCAATTGCTGGAGCTCGGTTGAACTGAAGGCAGGAGCCAGGAACCTCTTCCGGGTCTCCCCAAAGCTTTGGACCATCCTCGACTGCTTTCCCAGACCACACGTAGGGAGCTGGATGGGAAGCAGGGCAGCAGGGATTAGAACCAGAACCCATATGGGATTCCAGCACATTCACGGGAAGGACTTAAACTGCTTGACTACCACACTGGGCCCCTAATACTTTCTTTTTTTAAAGGGTATATTTATTTATTGCAGGGAAAGAGAAAGAGAGAGATTTTTCTGTTACTGGTTCATTTCCCAATTGGTAACAATGGCCAAGGCTGTACCAGATAGAAGCCAAGAATTTGTTCTGGTTTTCTTAAACCATTATGCTGGTTGGACTGTCCATTCCTTCCTTTCAAGAAAGTTCATGCAAACTCACTCTGATCTTTCTCCTGCCTCAAGGTGTAGGGTTTACTTGCTAAGGTAAGTTTCAGATAAAGTTCATCTACAAATGTCACTCTTTCTGCTCATTAATGGGTGCTCTTGATGTCTAACCACATCTCCATTTAGGGTCATGTCAGTGCTTCTTGGGGGAGTCCTCCTGGGGAGTGAGAACAACAGAGAGAGAGAGGGAATCTTAGAAATATTCTCACTCCCCCGGCTCTGCCCACAACCTCTTGCCTCCTGGGCTCGTCCCTGGCCCCATGGGTCGGCTATTGAAATCATGCTGTCTGTCTCTCTCTTCCAGGACATCAAAGGCACCTTGAAAAGGTATGATGGCCATCCCACTTGCATGTTGGCTCCTGTTCATTCAAGGTTCTGTACGTGGCATAACTTCAGATACCTTCAACATGCCCTACTCACCAACACCCATACCCTGGGACTTTCCAGTCAGAGGCATAGGCTATATAGAGGAGGATCTGAGCTGAGAAAATGAGTTGGCTGTGAGAGGCCTGAGCTGTTCTCCCCACTCCCAGGGCCTCCTGCAGGCCCCCTGCTCAGTGGTTGCCTCCTGGTCCCCTCTCCCTGCCCCACTGCTTTTCTCCTCTTCCCTTCACTTCCAAGTCTCCTTGGGCAGCTTATCACTCCAGCCCCATTTCTGTAGTGCCTGCCTCCTGATTCAATGTACTCCCTAGCCCTTGGTGCCCACTCTCACTCTGTTGGCTCCATCCCCATAGAGCTGGGTCCAGAGCACCAGCCTCACTCCCCTGCCTCCCTACCTAGCTCTACCTTGTCCTCCTAGGAGTGAAGAGATTCAGGTTCAGTTTCACAGAACAACCCCAATTCCTCTGGAACTGGAAAAAAATCTCAGTGAGGCCAAGTCCAGACATGACTTCATCATCGATAGCCTAAGGAAGTTTGGAGGTAAGGAAAAGGCTGAGCGGGCCTCTGTTCTCTTCCCTGGAAGGAGTCTCTCCTGTCAGTATTCATCATTGCACCATTCCACAGCTCTGTGTCCATCAAGAATTTTTCTTGCACTCTGTTCCATGTAATAATTGTCTATGTCCACCATCCACTAATTCTTGTGATAACCACAAAAGAAAGGTTGGTCTTTAGCCCCATGTGACTCTGAAGAGTATATCAATGGGGAAGAGGCAGAGACTTGCCTTCCCAGGGAATGCCAGCATCACAAAGGGCAATGTAACTTGCTGCATCAAAATGTCAACCTCTCCACTTACTTTCTAATGTAGCCACTGGGAAAAAAATATCTTAAAGACTTATTTATTGGGCCCAGCACAATGGCTCAGTAGCTAAATCCTCAACTTGAAACTATCAGGATGGCATATGTGCACCAGTTCATTTTCTGGCTCCTCCATTTCAATCCAGTTCCCTGCTTGTGGCCCGGGAAAGCAGCAGAGGATGGTCCAAAGCCTTGGGACTCTGCATCCACATGGGAGAACTGGAAGAATCTCTGGGCTGCTGGCTTCAGATCGAATCAGCTCAGCTCTAGCTGTTGTGGTCATCTGAAGAGTGAACCAACAGATGCAAAATCTTTCTCTCTGTTTCTCCTCCTTTGTAAATCTGATCTGCCTTTCAAAAAGAAAAAAATCAGACAGAGGAATATATGGAGAGACAGAGAGATATCGTCCATCAACTGGTTCGCGCCCTAGATGATGTAATGGCTAGGGCTGGCCAGGTCTGATTCAGGAGTCAGGAGGTTCGTCTGGTTTTTCCATGTGGGTGACAGGGGTCCAGGCACTTGGGCCATCTTCTGCTGATTTCCCAGGCCTTTTTTATGGAGCAAGATTAGAAATGGAGCAGCAGAAGTGAGTATGCAATAGAGATTACAGGTGTCAACTTTTTTCCAGGTGTCAGCTTTATGTGCAATGCCACAGCACTGATCCTACCACTACAAAACTAAAAGATATGTGGCATGCTTAGATGTTCATGGAAAACATGTATGGAAAAAGCTACACATGACCTTCAAATCTGTTGTACCAAAATAAATTAAGTTTTTAAAAATATTGTTTCAAAAGCAAAGAATAAAAAGGGAGAGATTCATTCAGTGCTGGGTCAGGAAAAAAACACAAGCCAAGAACTTAATCTTATCGGCCCTGTGTGTGGCAGGAACCTAAACCTTTGCACCATCACCCGGGCCTCCTAGGGTGCCCCTTAGCAGGAAGCTGGAATTGGAAACAGAGCTGGGCATCAAGTGTCCTAAGCAGAATGTTAAACACTGCACCCAAAGCTCAATCAAATGGGTCTTTCAATTTCATCTTTCCTTAACTTTTAAAAAATTTTTATTTATTTTCATTCTTTTCAAAGGCAGAAATACTGAAAAAGACAGGCAGAGACAGAGATCTTCCATCCACTGGTTAAGTCCCCCAAGGGACGCAACAGATGAGACTGGGCTGCTCTGAAACCAGGAGCTTCTTTCTGGGTATCCCCTGTGAGTCAGGGGCCCAAATCCTTGGGCCATCTTCTGCTACTTTCCCAGGCCATAAGCAGGAAGGAAGATGGATTGGAAGCAGAGCAACCTGAACACGAACTGTTGCCCATATGGTTGCCCCTGCACTGCAGGCAAAGGATTAGTCAGTTACTCCATCACTGCCAGTCCCCATTAATTTAGGAACCGTAAAAGAGATCTCATTAGATGTTCACTGGACAGTGCTGGGCTGTGTGGTCACTTTATAGAAGCAGGGCAGCAAGGCTGGGATTTCACGTGCACTGAGAATTTGAGAGAATTCCAGCTCCCTGTTCCCAGGGGTTTTACATCAAGGCCCTGTGGTATGATCCTGGGTTCCTTGCTCAACTTCCCTGGCCTCTCATCCCTTCTGTTCTCTGCCCCCAGACCAGCTCCAGGATGACAGGAAGAAAGACCAAGGCAAGTTCCTCCTAGACATAAGTACAACCCACAGGCAGAGTGGTAAGTAGGGGAGAGGGACTGCTTCCTATTCCTAGGGAAGAGTGAGTTGCCCAAGGGAGAAGCGGGGAGAATTTTCCCAAAAAGGGATAAGAATAGGCCTAAGATGATGTCTTATACTTTTAGACCCAAGTAACTCACAGCCACTCAAAAAATTTTCATAAGTAATCAAAATCATCAATTGATGACTTCCCTGCTCAGAGCCAGGGAAGACAAGAAATGGATCTAGATGTGTTGGATCCAGGGCATTCTCTGCTATCTTAGCTCTCATGCTGGGCAAATGCCATGATCCCTGACAAGGTCTCTGTTGGGAGGGACTGGGCTATCTCCAATGGGAACTCAGTGTTCCCACCCCCAGGTCCCAGTGGCACAGACCCGCAAGGATTTCCTCTCCTGCTGAGCCTGAGGCCAACTGAAAGATTTCCACACTTCTGTTAACAGAAGTGGAGGTGCCACCTGGCAATCACTGGGTGCTTTCATTCTTGATGCTGGTTGTTGGGTGGGAGTTGCCTTTGTGGTTTGTGGGTATTTTCCATCTTTTAAGACCAAAGTTAGCTTTCCCGCCCCAACTCCTAGGGTGCCTATTAGAGAAAAATAGTTCTAACACTGACAGAGGCTCACAGCCTGAGCCAAAATCCCCAGGTAGCATTGTGGTCTGGAACACAGGAGGATGCCTGTGGTGTTAGAGGGCAATACAAAGCCGGTAGGTGTTCCAAGGTGGACACAGCCTGCAGAGAGAGCTGCTTGATATGTGTCCTCGCCCTTACCACAGCTGCTGGGACCAATTCTCAGGTTCCCAGTCCCAACCTGAGGTGGAGAGAAAAGGGAAAAAACAGAAAAGAGGGATGAGAGGCAGAGAGAGCAGGTGGGTGGAGGAGGGGATGCTGTGGCCTCCACAGGTCTTACAGAGGTGTCAGGTACCGTGGGTGTTGTGGGCAGACATGAGATGCGCTGTGCACTGCGGGCACACATGCCTTCCTCTGTCCCTGCCCATTTTCCACTAATTGTGTGAACTGGTAGCCCCAGAGTGAGCCCCTAAAGCTTGTGCGGGCGGTGGGGATTACTGCCCTCTTATTCCCACCCTTCATATTTCTTTCTGTATCAGAAGTGGCCCAACAGCCAACCTGGATCCTCAACTCCTCACCCTCTAGATATATTCTGTCCCGAACGTTGGGTGGTTGGGTAGGTTCCAGATATCAAATGCCAGTTTAAAATTGAGCATGTCGCAAGGTGGAGCTGCTAGAAAAGCCGCAACGGTGCCAACATCGGGGACAAGGGGAGCTTCCACAGCCCCGCGAGCTCTGTGTAGCCACAGCGGGTGCTAGTGAGTGGCTGGGGGCTTCCTGGGATTGGATCTCAGGTTGGCTAAGGGGGTTGGGATGACCTAGAGGAGGAAAGGACTTGTTCTTAGCAGTCACAATCAAGCTGCCTTTTGACCTTCGCCTGGCCCATGGTGCCCTCTAGTGGACACACGAGGTCCCTGCGGCTGCGTCCACTCCCCTTCCCTCCTCCAGAGTGGAAGTCCACACAGTTCAGGCCTGCCTGCTCACAGATCTCAAAACCCGTTACCATCATCATGACTGGCAGGATAAGATCTTCCTCCGTGGGGACTTGACCCGAGGCTGCACCTCTTTTCCCTTCTTTTCTCACAGGCCCTGTGTTCTTCAATGCGGCCTCTGCCCATCCTGAACTCAGGATTTCCAAGGATCTGAAAACGGTGAAATTACACTTGACCCATATTTTAAAGCGCTCAGACGATCCAGTGGAGCCACAGCGCTTCTATCCATTCCGTTGCGTGCTGGGCTCACCAGGCTTCTTCACCGGCCACCACAGCTGGGAGGTGGAGCGCAGTGGACCCTGGGGCGGGATCTGCACTGTGGGTGTGGCGTGGGAGCAGGCCCCTCGACAGGGCTACCTGACCCTGGAGCCTGCCAGCGGCTTCTGGGTGCTGCACTTCACTGATTCCAAATGCCAGGCGCTCACTGGGAGCAACACGTGGGAGGACCTCCCGGTCTGCCCCAGGAGAGTTGGTGTCTGTGTGGATTTCGAGGGCAAAGAGGTCAGCTTCCATGATGCGGCCACCAAGAAGCATATCTACACCTTCCAGGCCTCCTTCCTGGGAAAGATTTCCCCCTTTTTCAGGCTCTTCCCTGGCACCCAGATCACCCTGAGCCCTTAGCCTCGCTGCTTGGACATCCTCTGCAACTCCTTGAGGCCAACCCATCGCCGGGTGGTAGCAGTGACATCAGGTTCCCAGCAAGAAAATGATCTCCCATCCACAGGTTCACTTCCCACGTGGCAACTGAGTTGAGCTGAAAAAAGAGGAAAGCCAGAGCTTCTTCCAGATCTCCCATGGGCATAAAGAGCCCAAGGACTTGAATCATCATCCACTGCTTTCCCAGGCCATAAGCAGAGAGGTGGACTGGAAGTGAGCAAAGGGGCCATGAACCAGCGACAATAGAGATGTTGGCACTTGCATGAAGAGGATTATCCAACTGAGCCATTGCACTGGCCCCAGTAGCCCCAGTTTAGATGTGCTCCCATTTACCCCTCTGAATCCTGTTCCTGCATCTCTGCTATATGATCACCAGCTTTAGCCTCTCTCTCTCTCTCTCTCTCTCTTCCTCTCTCTCTCTGGATCTGCATGTCCTCTGTCTAAACCGAGATCATCCCAAGTCCACTCTTAATTGAAGATTAACACACTAAATGGAGGCAGTGCCCAGGGCTTCAGGCCAGCCTGCAGAACTGACTCAGAATCCAGTCATCAATGATCAGCCCCTATAACTAACATCCTCTCACCAGTCTCTTCCACCAGTCCCTCAATAACGACGAGCCTACCTGTAGACCCCTGTAGTTGAGCTCTTTGCTCTCACATTTCCAGAGCCATGCATGCCTCCTGTGGGCCACTGTGATGATCCCTCTGATGATACCAGGACACGAGGTGTGACAACCATGCTAAGCAACTGGGACATGGGGGATACAAGGCGGGTGAAGCAATGCACGCTTTAATGAGCTCAACAGGGTGTATATATGTACTAGTTAGGTCGCCTAGACAGCCAAGTAAAGCCTCTCTAAAGATCGCCAACAAGGAAATGAAATAACATCATGAGACCTAATAGCTCAAAGTAGTAAGCATGTATTTCAAGGACAGATTCTGATGATCAAACTAATTAACTGAGGAAGGTGATATGCTTGGCTACAAGCAACTAGTGAGGAAGGAGGCACAGCAAGGCGCCACTCACCCCCACCCATGCTTGGCCAGTGAGGCAGCCATAGTTCCATGCAGGAAGTCAGCTCCCTGCTAGCACTCTCAGTCTGCTGAAAAGTGTGTGAGTTCTGGTGTCCTCAGGCATCTGATGAACTATTTTGAGGGGGTGCATTTCCGCAGGCCCCAATTGTAGGAGACAATGGGGCCCAACCAGAGACATCCCATTTCCCTTCAATAGCCTACCCAGGAAGTGGTCATGTCCTGCTCAGTTCTCTGCAAGGTCTAGGAAGTGAGCCAAAGCTGCCCACTTCCTTACTCTCTATCTGGCCAAAATAGTTACTATCTTGCACCACTCTGATGTGAACAGTTGATTTGCTGCATGAGTGCTGAGTGGACCCAGTTGAGGGATTCTAGAACAATTCTCCCAACCAGATTGGGGGGGAGAGTCTACTATTCCTGTCCCTGTGTGCCTGAGATAAAGCATACCCCACTGTCTGTGGCAGCACTGTCTGAGACAGGACAAGACAGGAAGCAACTCAAATGTCCATCAGCAGGTGATGCTTGAAAACTGTGATGAGGAAGCCTCTGGCTGTGTACTGGTTAAGGTGCAGGAGACTGGATGACTGATCCCGCACTTTTTTACCACCCAGCTCCTGAAAGTTCCATAGCCCTGAACTTGTCTTTTTTTTATTAGTAGTATTAATAACATTGTATTATGTGACACAGTTTTATAGGTACTGCGATTCCTCCCACCCCTCCCTTAACCCTCCCCCCATGGTGGATTCTTCCACCTTGTTGCATAACCACAGTTCAAGTTCAGTTAAGATTCCTTCATTGGAATAAGATGCATAGAGTCCAGCATCTTATTGTCCAGATAACTTCAACGGCTTCTTGGGGAGACCTTCTCTGGTCTGAAGGCAGAGCCAACAGAGTATCATCCCGATCAATTAAAAGCCCCAACATAACATGAGCAACAATATACAATGTCACGGTATTAATTGACATAGTATTGAATAAACAGTATGTTAAAAATAATTCAAGTTCTTAACCACATCCTGTGACTACTCCATTGACATTTCAACACTTAAGGTGCAAAATAGTTATAGGAGGGCGTGCAGAGAAATCTTCAATACCTTGGTGAGGAGTACTTATTCTGTGTCCTACCTAGTAAGGTATGTGTGAGGTGTGAGTCCATACTGACCAAGCTTTCCTTGTTGTTCTCTGTGTATCTATTCTAACATATGTGTGTGTGTGTGTGTATGTATGTTTGGAGGGGGGTGGGCTCTGCAGCGACCTCATTGCAGAGAGGGTGGAAACCCGAAGTTGGAACTAGGTAAGGACCAGAGAAAGCTCCTCTCCCTAGTTCCAAAGGAAGTTTACTGTTCTGATTCTGAGGACCGCTCTGGATTCCTGGCTGCTGTTCCAATGACCTTGGATCCTAAGAGGGAGAATTCAGGCTTCTTTCATCCCGTGTGGGAGATCCAAAGGGGGTGGGGAATGCCCTCTGAGTTCTCAGTCTCCTAAGGCATTCCAGTTCCCTGTGGTCTCTCTGGCAGTTGGGATGTATTCGTTGGTGCCTGTACTTATAGTCCTTGGTGGGGATCAAGGAGTCTCCTTGGTGGGGATTCAGGAGTCTCCTCGTGTTCTCCTGCTCCACTCTGGGGTCCAACCCTGCTCTGTGCATATGACCTCCATTAATAGGTTGTTAGGATCGCTGTTGGTTCCTCCTGTATATCTTTGTAGTTTAACTATTATTTAATGCTGCTTTGAATCTATTACAAATATGTTACCTGTTATTATCCTGATGGGTTATACTACACATCGTCCTCACACATTCTAAGGAGATGGAAGATTTCTTTGTTTTCCCGCCCCATTTCTGATTAGCACAAGGTTTTGAAAGTAGGTTTTACAATTTTTCAAAACACATGGGTTGAGACAGTATTAATTGCAGGTTTATCTGAGGAAGATTTACTGTCCTTGGGAATCTTTAGTATTAATTCATGTCCCCAAAACACTGAGGGTTCAGCAAGGAGCTATCTAAACAGCATATCAAAGAACGAAAATTCCAGAGCTCCCTGGCCGCTCACGACATGGACGCAAGTGACGGGCTCCTATGAAACAGGTATGAGGCGGCCGTCTTGCCCGGTGACCTCCACAGCCAGGCTGGTGGAGGTTCAGCTCCCTAGACTCCCAGGTCCACGCCCTCCCAGTCTCCACCCCATCTCAGCCAAAGCTAGCAGTAGGCGGGCCCAGACTTACCTAACAAAGCAAGCAGGCTCCCTCCTCAGGTCAGCTCCTGCAGCTTTGTCAGGTATGCATGGCCCTGAACTTGTCTCTGTTTGTTACCTTTCCTGACATCTGACAACTCTGATCCTGGACTTATGTCTCAGCAGTTCAGCCATGCTTGTCCCTGTGCCTTCTATCTATTTTGCAAATGATGACTATAGGATGACTTCTTTCTAGTGTAATTCATTGATTTTTATATGAAAAATTTACAGAGAGAATAGAGATACAGAGAAAAATTGGTCTTCCATCCACTAATTCACCCCCAAAATGCCAAAATGGCCCGAGATAAGGTGATCTGAAGCCAGGAGCCCAGAATTTCTACTGGGGCTCCCATGAGGGTACAAGGACCCAAGTGCTTGAGCCATCCTCTGATGCTTTCACAGGTCATAAGCAAGGAGCTGGAAATAGAGTTACTCGAGCATGAATTGGCTCCCATTTGGGATGCTGATGCTGGCAGACAGAGGAATAGCTTGCTGTGTCACCGCTCCAGTCCATAAATGATGACTTCTTAGATGCATTTATCCTTAAGTGAAAAATAAGGTATGCAACAATACACAAATTACATCACATGTTACCTAAGAAATGATTTGCTGACTTATAGTTATGTTTTAGTGGAAAGGACAAACCAAAACCTAGGAAACAGTTTTCTGTACGAGGAAGAAAAGCCAGATGAAGGATACATGTTGGCCCTTCTGAACATACTTTTCTTGTACGTTTGACTTTAGTATCATGTAAATACTTGATGTCATTATAAAGCAAAATTTAAGTGAGATAAAATAGACTGTGTGTGTAGTTGGCAGCTCACACTCAGACAGGAAGGATTTAAAGGCAGTCGTTTGTGGTGAACGCTCAGTGGCAGCAGCTGTGTGATATCTGGATGCCTGCATCCCACACCCAGGGCCTGAGTTTGAGTCCACTTCTGATTCCAGCTCTCCTCTCCTTGTGATTCCTGGGGGGTTACAGGTGATGGTCCTTAGGTCTCTGCCAGCCCCATGAAATCTGGCTTGTGTTTTGGGCTCCTGCCTTTGCTCTGGTCCTGCCCTACTTGTTGAGGACATTTGAGAATGAACCAGTAGATGGAAGGGATCTCTCTCTCTCTCTCTGTCTAAGCTTGCCAATAAGATGAAAATAAGTAAGTTTTATGTGCAAGAATTTGATTGTAATCCTTAGGGTGATATATCCTAGGATAAAAACAATCACAAGTAAATGTTAAAGTTGCTACTTATGTTGGCAGTAATAGTGTTACTATTCTGAACCTACTATGCATGTATGCATATGTGCATGTACATATATACACATATGATAGGATAAACATTAATTATTCTTAAGCTACTAAGAGTATTTTCAACCTATAAGTTTATGGTTTTCTCTGAGAAGATTAACATGATTGAATGGAAATTAAAGCATAATAATGTTAACTTTGAATAGAAAATCAGTATAAACTCACAAAGCAATTCCTCTGAAAAATAGTAAAATTTACTTCTGCACTTTAAGTACAAGAAAGCCCTGATCATGAGTAGCAACCAATCAGAACCTATCAGAATCACTTTACCAAAGAGATTTCTGGGAGAAAAGGAAACATAGATTTAAGAAGACTGTAGGATATATGCATAAAATGTATTGGTAGTCCTTTTGGATCCTAGTCTGGAAAAAGTAATTGCATGTTAAATTTTAGATGTATGTAT